GAAAGAGTCCTTAATCTAACCATATTGTCACTTAAATCAACGAGAATTTACTCGGAGAAAAAAATGGCTTCTAGCAGCACGATGATAATGGGAAAGATCATACTCCCTACAAAAACAAAGATGAAATGTCAGTCTGAAACAACAGCTGTTACCACAAGCAAAACTGTTACAAACATCATCAATAAAGCTTTCAAAGCCAACCAACTGCACTGACAGAAAAAGTAAAAAGGCTGTTATTGTACCGACTAGTACAACTGACAGAGTTGCTTTCTATAGTTATTAATTGTTGCCAGCAGGGAGCAAACACAAGACCAATATGGTAACAAGAGAGTGAAAAATGAGTGCGACTGTAAGATGTGGGCAGAATTAGCAAGGGTCATTTGATCCCTGCATTGTCCCCAGCTAAGCAAAAAGCTGTGTTTAGAGGCATTCTGAAAGCAAGAAAGAGAAAGTCTCAGGTCACCTAGCTTCTACAAAAATGACACTGCAACATATGTAGAAGTTGCTCATTTGACACAAAACTCATCTGATGCAATACCTGCCAGGGCTGGATGCATACAAATCAAGCTGCTTTTAAAAATGGATATTTATTCATAGATGTAGGCTGCCCTAAGGTTGGACAGTTGGATCATTCACTATGGTGATTATGCCATATTTCCAGTTGAGTTTCAAAGCAGATCTGACAATCCATTCAAAGATTCACACTGCAATTTTTACTACAATCCAGGCCTAATTCTGAATATGGCACAACTAAACAAAATTCAAGCTGATGTTCAAACGTAGCTAACCTATTTAAAATGAAATCAAGCGTTCCTGCACAGCCACTGTTGATAAATTTTTCATTTATAAAATCTGTGGAGTGAGGAAAAAAAGAAATGTGATTTCCAGTGAGAAGGAACTACCAGAAAACTCCTGTGCAAATCTGTACTCCTCATCGCTCTTTCACAAGCGACACGACACTGCACAGAGCATGCACGGTAACAATGTGTACACAGTTAATTGCTAAGCATCTGTGTGAACTGCATCTGCTATGATGCTTTACCTGTGTCATCATTCTGACATGATGGCCCCATTCCTCGAGCTTATGGCAGCCACCTTGTACCTTGTGTTTCCATACACATTTTCAATATAGTCTGTTCCCGGATATATTTTCTGGAGAGATGAACAGAAGACAGACCCCACCACCCATATCAGACAGGCATTCTGCCACCTTGGTGGACTTTAAATAATAAGCTCAGAAAACTGGTTTTTGCACATCACAGAATGGTTGAGGTTGGAAAGGGACCTCTGGGGATCATCTAGTCCAACCCCCCTGCTCAAGCAGCATATCTCCCAGGATCATGTCCAGACGGGTTCTGAATATCTCCAGCGAAGGAGACTCCACTGCCTCTCTGGGCAACCTGTTCCAATGCTCTGTCACCCTCACAGTGAAGAAGTTTTTTCTCAGGTTCAGGTGGAACTTCCTGTGGTTCAGTTTCTGCCCGTTGCCTCTTGTCCTGTCGCTGGGCCTCATCCTCTTGACACTCCCCCTTCAGATACTTGTACACGTTGATGAGATCCCCTCTCAGTCTTCTCTTCTCCAGGCTGAACAGGCCCAGCTCTCGCAGCCTTTCCTCAGAGGAGAGATGCTCCAGTCCCCTCAGCATCTTCGTAGCCCTCCGCTGGACTCCCTCCAGTAGCCCCATGTCTCTCTTGTACTGGGGAGCCCAGAACTGGACACAGTAGTGCAGGGGAGGCCTCCCCAGGGCTGAGGAGAGGGGCAGGATCACCTCCCTCCACCTGCTGGCAACACTCTGCCTAACACACCCCAGGATCCCATGGGCCTTCTTAGCCACAAGGGCACACTGCTGGCTCATGCTTAACTTGTTGTCCACCAGGACTCCCAGGTCCTTTTCTGCAGAGCGTGATTGTAATGGTTCCATAGCTCAAACTGAGCAAGTGTTTCCACCTTAAACACCTCTTTTAAAAGAGGGGTTAAGATTTTAATATTAAAAATTCAGTTAGTTGAAAATTGGCACACAAACTCCAGAATCCTAAGGAACTGCAGATTCTGAATGTATGTGCCCCATATAATAAAGGCAAATAGTTGATCATATTGAAAGCACAAAATTCCACAAAACTAGGAGAAGCAACTGCCCGCTACCTTCAAATGATCGCTGTTCATGCTGATCTTACCACTGCATTAGGATCTTCCTCGAAATAGTAATACTTTGATCCCATTAATGCTCATTACTTCAACTGCATTACTTCTTAGAATCTTTGCAGTACAAAATGCTCCAACAGCCCTTAACCTGTAAATGACATTTGCTGAAGCCATCAAATGGACTGTGAGATTTTGGAAATGGTCTCAGGAGACCTAAACACATTTAACAGAAAAAGTGCATAAACCTTCTGGGCTGCTTTACGCATTTCAAGTAATGTTTGTTTAACTCTAACCAAAGACATATCCTATTCAAAGTTTCAAATTTGTGCTACCCGCATACCTGCGATTTCTCCCACCTCGCCCAATGAAGCTGTTAGTATCTATAGCGTACAGAACACCAATACATTAGAGAAACTCAACAGACGCATAACCTTCAACTTTCCTTTGACTTACTCCCACCTTCCCCCCTCACCACCAAAGAGTGTCATATGACATTTACAGTGCACCAGCGCATCAACATCTTGCCTTTACCTTCAGTTCTTTTCCTCTGAATGCTGCTCCTTTAAAGTTAAGTTGGAGTCTACAGAGAGTGATGAGTTACTTATAAAGGTAACACTAACGATGCACTTGAAATTAGAATAATTCAATGAGACACAGCAAGTCTGCGCAACTATAACGGGCACTTAATAGCTAGAATAAGCTATTGATTTTACCTGAGTTGCAAGAATAGCTAGTATAACATGAACTTTAAATATTTAAAGTGTCATCAGCAAATGATTAATTGTGTTTGATATTTGGGCCATATAATTAGATTTGTATAGATTTAGGAAGCTTGCCTGTTATTTTAAATACTATCTTCTCTTTCTTTATGTGCTTAACTTCATAATCAAATTCAAAACATGCAGAGAGATGTGAAGGTTTACTCATATTTGATCTACCAATGGTTTTATTAGGAATCATGGTAGACAATTAAAGGAAAGCATAGACATTTTCCAGCAGAACAGTGAATGGCCAGTGACACAGTAGCCCTCAAAGTATAAAGAAATCCTAGTACTGACTGCCATTATGCTGTGAATATCAGAAGGGCAGCAGGAGATTAAAGAAAGTAGTGCATACATTTTCAGCTTAAAAAAAACATGTACTGATTATACTTGATAGGCAATTTTTCAGAAAAGTTTCAGTGTAAATTTCACATTCTTAAACACAGCCTTTTCTAGTGACGATGGCTAGAAATCTCTATTTATCCACAGAACAGATTGAGCACAGAAAGTCAAATCCCTCTGAATAACAGTGCTAGGATGCATCAAGCATTATATACAGACCATGACAGAGAAGGAGAGGTAATTATATAGTTTAGTTTCAATGCCCTTTTAAGTCCTTAACCTCTTTTCTGAGGCTTGACAGTAGCAGATTCAGTAGAGGTAAATTCTGAATACCCAGAGATAACTGAGCTGCAGGATTAGAAAGCCCTAACCAAACATCTAGTAAAAATCAAACATTTTTTACATCAGATACAGGAGGTTTTGTGTTCCTATACTGCAGTGCACAGATCTGATTATAGTTTACAGAGTCTTACCTGAGCAGCTTGAACTACCTTGTTTGGGACTGGTAGCCATCTAACCTCAGTAATGCAGGTTACACAAGCCCGCATGGGACTTTGGCTAAATACTTTATTTACAGTGCTACAGATAGACATGTTCTCAGTCCAACAGTGTAAGAGCTGAGGCCACAGCTTTGGGCTGTAGCTCTGATGTACCCGGGAGGAACATCTGAGTCAGGGACAGGTGATAGCTTGGAAATAGCGCTGCTAGGCCTCAAGCCAACTCTCCAGCAGTAGTGTTAAGAAGGGAAAGCACTGGCTATCCTGGCTTATTATTTTGCCCCTTTCAGAAAGTAAAGTTACACACAGACATATTGCATACATACAGGTGGAAAAATCATGCACTGGAAACAGCATTTCTAATTGGCAGTAATTTACCCAGTTTTGCGAGGAACTAATCCTGCATTTGACAATACTGCTATTGGCCACTTGGGGAGCACTGCAACAAGAGTGCTGAGTCATAAGTCCAGGCTAACCTGTAGCAAACCTCCAAAAACGTTGCTGAAACCCACCTCAACCTATGCCACTTCCATGTAGTTAACACCAGCTGCGTGGATACCCTCCATTAGAAACCACCGCCTGAAACCCTGGCATCTGCAAAGAATGCAACAGCAGCTCAAACGTCTAAGAACCCAGGTAAGCTCTAAAATAGTTAGAGCCTAATAATTTCACTTGCTGGCATTAAACAAATGATCTCTAATCCAGATGGGCACATTAACCTATGCCGGAATCAGCTCTGCCTCACTGGGCAGCCATCCTGTGACATGAAGGAGGCAGGTGCCCTGCAGGAGAGGAAGCATGGTACTGTAATGAATAGTACCAAAATACATTTAATACCAGGGGTGACAATTACATATGCATCTATAGCTTTAAATCTATGATTTCCTAATTTTCAAGGGCTTGACTTTATAACCTAATTCCTGACAGACGGTTGGATGTCATCTCCTAGATGCATTCACTTTTTTTTTTTTTTTTAATGAAAGTGTTGCCGTGTATAAGAGCAACGGTCTTTTTCATCATTCATTGCCAATAAAATCTGAACATTAAACTTGTAGCTCAGCCCTTTCCCACCTAGGCTACAAGACTGCACAGACTGACCAGAGCAGGAATTCATGTGTAAGAAAGTAAAGCTCCTATTTCACACAGCATCGAAGACCCCAATAAAGGAACAAGCACCGGTGGCCGCACTATGGTCAGGGCAGGAGAGCGTCCTGCCTTCTGCTGTTCACAGCCGTATTTCAGTGCAGCACACGTTCCTGATGCTATTTCAGAGCATGTGTGTAGGAGATGGGCGTAGGAGATGGAGGAGTGGAGGAAAGGCAAGGCAACCCCTGCTCATGCTCATATACTGTGAAAAAAATTCTAGCATGAAAAATTTGACTTTTTTGCAAGCATAAATTGCAAACATGACATTTTGAAATAGAGTCCCAAATGAATTTAAAAGATTTGCTGCAAGCCATGGGGGTGCAAAAGCATCTTAATAAAGGTCTCCAAATCCTTTATAAAGGAAAGCGCTGGCTAACAGGGAGATGGCTGCAACCCCATACGGGGGTATGCTATAGAATAAATCCTCACTTCAGTATCTCAATCCCTGCTTGATCTTTTCTTCAACGTCATACCTCTCCCTAGATATCATATTTACAAATTATACAAGGCGCTGTAACAGCATCAGAGCTAAGCATTTGTCTGCTTTTTCTACGCATCTGTCTACTTTCTGACGTAGGATCTTCATAGATTTCCAGTGTTTGTGAAACCTAATTTTCAATCCTATCTCGTTGACATTGCTTCCCTAAAATAAGTGTCAGCTCTTTCAGCAAACCCAGGTGAAGAAGCACAACCATAACATGCTTAACAGGCACTACTGACATCTTTCCCTTCGCATCTACTAGCGCTCTGCAAAGCCATGCTTTGGAAATAAATGCAACTATTCACAAAGGTGAGAAAGCCATTACTGCCATGTTACCAGGCAATATGTCATCACAAAACCAGTAGGAGAAAAATTGCTTAGGGCAGAATTTACTTCATGAACTTCAAATTTACTTCATTACTTCAAATTGGCCCTTCCTGAACAAAGAATAGCCACCAGTATTGTTTGTTAGGAAAAACCGTAAGAGAGAATTTATTGCTGAAGCATATGAAGACACAGCATTAAGTCTTGCTGGAACATTAATATTTAAACACACTTTTAAATTAAGCCATTTAAAAGCTGCAGTTAGTCAAGAAACTTTCTACATTGCAAGAAATACACGCTACTGGCTAAGGACTAGACAAAAGAAAACCATATAGTTGGTCGACTTAACTTTTAACGGTCACTGATTATCTATCCCAGA